AAAAAAAAAAAAAAGTAACGTTAGCCACAAGATTAGAAATTATGATTTAGGAGGCATGCAGCTGGAAGCTACAAGATTCCTAACCTCCCTAAACTTCTTCTAAAGATCAGTGCTTGAGATATTTTGCAAACCCTACACTTGACGGATCAGCTGGCTCCATCCAGATCAATTAACGGGCTCATCTGATCTTGTGGCCCCCACCCATGGACTGACTCAGTTCAAGGAAAGAAAACAGCTTCAGTTCTCTACATTCCTGACCTGACCAATCAGCACTCCTGGCTCACTAGCTTCTCCTCACCAACTAAGTTATCCTTAAAAATTCTGCTCCCGGCCGGGCACTGTGGCTGACGCCTGTAATCCCAGCACTTTGGGAGGCAGAGGCGGGCGGATCACGAGGTCAAGAGATGGAGACCATCCTGGCCAACACGTTGAAACCCCGTGTCTACTACAAATACAAAAAAATTAGCCGGGCGTCCTGGCACGCGCCTGTGGTCCTAGTCGTGCCAGCCACTAGGGAGGCTGAGGCGAAAGAATGGCTTGAACCCAGCAGGCGGAGGCTGCAGTGAACCGAGACTGCGCCACTGCACTCCGGCCTGGTGACAGGGCAAGATTCCGTCTCAAAAAATAATAATAATAATAATAATAATAAATAAAATAAAATAAAATTCTGCTCCCGCCTCGCGGACGATGGCGCCTGAGCCAGGCTTCCTTTACAAGTAATTTCCCGATGTTGCCGAGGGAGCCGCGTTGGTCTCAGACCCAGTAGGTGGCGGCGGCCACGGCGGCGGCTGCGCTCCTGCGCTCCTGCGCCCTCCCGCCGCGTCCTGGACTCAGCGGCGGTGCAGACGCCGGGCGGAGCGAGCCAAGTAGGAAATACGAGCGGCAACAACTTGGATGGGAACGCTGAGTTTGATGAGCAGTTGCCAATGCAAGAATTGTACGGAGACGGCAAGGATGGTGACACCCAGACCCATGCCGGCGGAGAAACCGATTTTCTCCGGCAGCAGCCGACTGACACCCCCTAGGAGTGGGACCTGGACAAGAAGGCTTGGTTCCCAAGATCACTGAGGATTTCCTTGCCTCGTATCAGGCCAATTATGGCTTCTCTAATGATGGCGCATCTAGTTCTACTGCACATGTTCAAGATGTCCACACTAGGACTGCAGAGGAACCTCCACAAGAAAAAGCCCGGGAACCCACTGATCCCAGAAAGAAGGGAGAAAAAAGAAAGGCCGAGTCAGGATGGTTTCATGTTGAAGAAGACAGAAATACAAATGTATGTGTCTAGTTTGCCTTCAGGTATTACAGTGGATGAATTGATACAACTTATGTCCAAGGTCGGCATTATTACGAGAGCCTCTTAAAGGAATTTAAGGTCAAACTTTACGAAGATAATCAAGGAAATCTTAAAGGAGACGGTCTTCGCTGTTATTTGAAGAGAGAATGTGTGAAACTTGCATTAAAACTTTTGGATGAAGATGAAATTAGAGGCCACAAATTACATGTTGAGGTGGCAAAGTTTCAACTGAAGGGAGAATATGATGCCTCAGAAGAAGTGAGACTATAAGAAGAAGCTGTCTGTGCAACAAAAGCAGCTGGATTGGAGACCTGGGAGGAGAGCTGGACCATCCTGGATGCGCCATGAGCGAGTTGTCACCATCAAGAATATGTTTCCGGGGCCGGGCGCGGTGGCTCACGCCTGTAATCCCAGCACTTTGGGAGGCCGAGGCGGGTGGATCGCGAGGTCAAGAGATCGAGACCATCCTGGTCAACATGGTGAAACCCCATCTCTACTAAAAATACAAAAAATTAGCTGGGCATGGTGGCGCGTGCCTGTAATCCCAGCTACTC